TTGCCCGGCACGTGCTCTCTTTGCACGTGCCGGGCAAGGCTGGAAGGCGGGCTGCACCAACCGAAGCCAAAGCTGAAGCCAGCTTCTTCATGCCTCTAGCCCATGTCATGGTCTGACCGCCGCGCCGCTTCTTCCAGCCTTGCCCGGCACGTGCACGTATTGCATGCTTGAAATAGACAAAAAACTTTTGCAGAGGGATATCACCAAGTTGATTGACGGCCCCAAACAATCTTTACTTCGCTGGGGAAAAATATCTGATACTTTGGTACTCCAAAATATGAGATCTACTTCGAACAATATTTAACCTGGTAATTGTTGTGGTTGTTATTATTTTTGTTGTTTTTGTTCAAGGAGGCGAGCCAAAAGGGTATTAGTTTTGGCTGTCCATCATAAGGTTTCAAATCTAAAAGGTACAAACACAAATATCCCGAGTTTTTTCGGAAAATACTTTACCAGAAGCTACAGCTGCGTCCCTTTCAATGCCAATGAATAAAATCAATAAATACTGAAAAAATCACTCGTGCCATTGGAACGATCGGGAAATTTACCATCCTGAAATCACCGATGCAGTCAAATCTGACTACTATCCAATCACATAAGTAGGCTTCGCTGTCTATGGCACGCATTGCGTATACCCAGCTGTCGTCTGCCACACCGTTATTTTTTCGCCGTAGCTAATCCGGGCTGGAGGAAACCACGTGGAAGTCAACAGATGACGTGGAGGGGGGCATGAAGAAATGCACAGAGCCATTAGATAGAGTAGGTGTCTCGCGCCTTATAGGTTGGGGCCGAAAAGACTCTGTAACTGGTTGGTTGGAGACATTGAAGGACATGGCAGCGAACCGACAGCATTGGCGTTTTTGTTGTCGTTTCTCACCAGGCCAGAATGCTTGAAATGGTATGTGTGCAGAGTGCGATCGTGTACTCTGTATGTTGACCATAGAGGTTTACTTTCTTTCCCCTCCCTCAAAATGGATCTAATCCCTGTCCACCTGAAATATCACCATTAACCTTGTATGCATTGCTAGTTTGGCAGTGAAGTTCGCTTCACTGTAATTCCCTGTAGGATGATAATAAGGCTCAGTGGCTGAAAATTCCACTGTTCTCGCAGACAAACTTAGATCGGTGTTTTAAATCGCTAGTTAGGCAAATCCAACTGCCAGACCGAGTCACTTTATTCGTTTAAGTGTTGCATGCAGTATAGGTCACATTGTAAGGCGTTTGTCTCAACGCGTTTGGGAGCACAATTTGGAATGGTTCAGTCAGGGAAACACCGGCTCTAACTCAAGCGCGATCATAGGTTATTTCGGAGAGGCTGGAAATAAGATCAAACCGGATAACGCTTTTTATGTTTTTTTTGTTGCATCCCACTCAATCATTCGGAGTTTTGACACTAGGCCTGGCCGAGGCGATCGCCATTCGCTTACAAGATCCCAACCTGTGTGCCCGAAAAAGACTGGTTCAAGCGTTTTATTGCCTTAGTCTGGTGCGAAAACCAAAACAGAACATGATGTGACCTTGAACAGAAGTAACTCAAATAGAAACCTTTTTCCTTCAAAGAGATTGAATCAGATACATACATACATACATCAGATACTACCTGATGGTGTGTTGCAGAATAAATAAGTCATATTTTTTAGTGATTATCAGCATCTACAAACTGCTTTTCTTGAACAGACAGTATTTTCACACATCGTAGCGAATGGATTCGATGAATAAAATCTAACTATTTGTGAGTAGTATAAGCATAATAGGATAAGAAAAACTTTCTTTGAAATTAATAGACTGCAAATGTATCTCCGGGTGAAACTTTCGCGGTATCAACTATCCGACTACCAATGAAGACCATATCTGAACGAAAATAGGGGTTTCTAGTCTACTCGTTTACGGTTTTTTGAAAGTGACAGCACACCCTCTGGAGCTAAAAGCACGTATGAACCAGTTGGTGTGCACCTTTGATATATCCTAATAAGAGCCAAACTCCATTTAGTGATTCCCGAGTGCACGGATTGCTGGACGATCTGAGGATTGCGAGCGATGACGAAATTTAACGGATGATGTATTAAAAAATAAATAGGAACTACAAAGACCTTATCGACCCTCAAAGGCCTTAATTATTCATCCCTAACTGCACTTGCACGAAATGCACACGTGTGAGAGATGATTGGCTGTTTCCCTTCCCGCACCTTGTTCATCTTTTGACAGGGCGACCCATGCAGCTTCACCGATCTCTATGCAGTTCAGTTGTCTCAGTGCAATGCTTGCGTAATACTGGGCGACACCAATGAGGAACTGGACTCACAGAATGTGGACATTTGTTTACAAGACAGAAAAACACTTCTCTGTGCCATGAACATCCGGTCCCTGTTACAACGCGAACATCATCTAGTTCATTTGACCACGGAATTGCGTGAGTTTAAACCCGCTTGGGGAGAGAACTGGATTAGGAATCAAGAGAAGAAACTTTGTAAACAGCCTCATAAACGTATTTTGTAATATTTTATCAATCCAAACGCATTGTAATAAATATGCTGGTTGTCAACGGTTCTTCCACGGTTTCGAATAGGGTTACAAGGTACCATAAACCAGCAAATCATTTAACGTAAAAGTAGCGTTTTTGGGGAGATAAGTAAAATGGAGGATAGATAACAAGACTGATATAGATTTGCGTTCCTATACACTTCGTTTGCACACACATAAACCTCAGTTTATTTAGTCAGCCATACACATGGAAAAGGGTGGGCTCCAGCTACATTCCCAGAAATACATTTCCACTGACCAAGCGATAATTTGGTCTTACATACTGAATGAATTGCTGTGTTTGTGTGTGCGTGGTACAAATGCGTCAACTAGCTCACTTCGGTTCTAATCGGGAACGTCCAGTGGCATTGGATGCCTGTTAGAATGGTGTTTCTGATTAAGTTGTGCTGTGTGTGATGGAGAAACCAATGGAACCGCGATCCTTTTCAAATTAATCTTTGTTCAGTATAGTATGGCATGCTACTCATGTTACCGGGACTGATCATTATCAGTTATATTTACGATTTATGGATGTGCTTGGGTTGCACTATCAGATCACATATTGGTTTTACACACGGTATCTGAGCACACATAAAGAGTTAGATTGCAATTGATCTGGTCGTTTACGTAACGCGAGTCCTGCTCGCCATGACAATAATTATCTACACCCTGTACATCGAACGGAACCACCCATGCACATAGACTCCATGATTGAGATCGACTACATGTGTATGGATTGTCATTCCCTCAGTCTTAGTGTTTCTTTGGGTTATACACCTAGGATTCTTTTCTTATAGACGATCCCGTAAGACCTCCGGTGGTTCACTCGTAACGGCTTAATTCACATGAGTAAGGAAACTGATGACAAATGAGAGTGATGGAAGATTTGGTTTGATATAATGAGGATTTCGGTTGGTAGGTCGAACGTGAAATAAAAAGCTAGGGATCACCGGATAGCTATTGCAACCTTGTCGGGTCTCATAAGTAATGAGAATCCATTTGCAGCTATTTTTTACGTGAAATACCATCTCGTTCATTGTGTGTTACTTGTACTCGTTCCGAGACACAGTTTCTCTATGAAAAAGTGGTTTGATCAGCTCTCCGATGGTCAAGTGGGTAGTATGCTTGAGTTCTATCAGCAAAATCAATGAGCCGATTGCGGGTATTTTTTCCTAATTGGTTCGTTCAGTCATGAGTTGTTTGGATCCGAACCCGGTATTCTGAAACTACCACTCACGAGTATCTGACCGGTGTATAGTTTTGTGGTTGCCTTAACTGACCACTTTTCATTGCTTATTGAAATCCACTCCTCTCGGTGAGCTTTGCTCATCACAGAATTCTTTTGGGCAATGTGTGCAACCGTTTTCTATCATTCATTTAATAAAATGCATTACCACTCGTTGAATACCATGCCACAATTTCGATTAAGACTATCCGTAAGAGTTACGCTTCATCTAAGCATCATGTGTATTGTTCTCCCACCATACTGGTTACATGCGGGAAAGTATATGATCATCCGACTGTGACCATTTTACGACGCCTCCATTTATTACATGAATGTGTGCCCGTGAAGTTGATCAACTTGACGCAGAAAACAATTCACATTTAACAATCGATACCTGAAGATTAGATAACATTTAAATGATCCAATGCAATTCAAGCTTTCTCTGCACATTGTGCAACCTCCTCTTCCTCTTTATGCAGCTCAGTAAAGTTCGTCCACTGAGTGAAACGTAACTGTTTAACTTGTTTTTGACTTATTTTTCCCCAATTTTAGATCGAACATACAATTCGAGTTGGTCTCGAATGGTATAAGATAACTGACACCTCCCCCAGATGATGGCAGAGAAGTAGGCTAAGCCTCCAGTTTTCACTTAATGGAACACGTTTGTTCGCCAATAAACCATTTTTGACAGCAATTGTTTCCACCGTTTCAATATCTGGATTTGTTTCTCTCCTCACACCCGCCCCATCCAATTCGGCCACCTGATTGTCCACTGCCGCAGGTTACGAGAGGAATGCTCACTTGTTCAGTTCAGTGGATACACACGAGAACGATTACAAATTGCCCGTCTGGTTCAACGAGCCGTTTGCCCGAGGATTCATATTTAGTAACTCTTTGTTGTACAGTTGTTTGAGTTCAGTGAGTGGTTCAGTTATATTGGCTTTTGGTCTCATTCACTTACTCGCTCTCTCGCTCTCAATAACAAGTTGAAATTTTCTCCGAAAATGCGGTAGTGCTTGAGATCTAGGCGAACTTCCCGATTTACCCTTGAATAGAGATTATTAGTTGTTGTGCATGCATACACTTGATTTTAGAACGTTATCCAGTTGTTTAGTGCCATGACGCACTTATGGAGATGCCTGGACATCTGTATAAGCATAAATCAGTCTGTCTCCTCAATAAATATAGGAAACAAACCGGCAGTTAGGTTGCACCTCCCGTGTTCACTGTAATCTTTCTAACCGGTGAGTTCTCAGCCACAAAATTGATATGAACTGAGTGTATCCTCCAATCTAACATTGATTTATTTTTCTCTCTCGCCCCGTGTGCACTATCTTGCTGTCTCAACCCCCATGCACACAAATACCACTCAACGTCGATAAAAACCACCGCAACTTTGTTTCGTTCAAATCACAGTTTTTCTACAACGAGGACGTGTTTCACTTTCTGCGTGTCCTCATCTCCGGGCAGGCCACGGATGAACTGGAAACCTCATTCGCAGTTGGTGCTGGTATGTGATTATTGGGTGCCCACCTGTTACAACTTATTCTTGTCCCCACGGGACAAATGACAGAATCACAGATACCCGTTAGTTGAAAACCGTAATTAAAATCGAGCATGACTTGACTGCTAGTCATGCATTTATTTCCGGTTCATCACTGATCAACCATCAACAGCAATGCTAGACTCGGCGATAGCTGGTTGATGGTCACCAAAATAAGGTTCTACTCACTCGATAATTTCGTGAACTGTTTGTGTGCGTGATACAGTAAGTGGCCCTTTGAATCCGAGATGATATTCTCTCAACCTAAAAGATAACTGCGAATCGTCTAACAGATTGAGTACCTTCTCTCCTCACTTTAAACAAGAGAAATGATAAAGGGTGTACTGCATAGCCAGTTATCCCACTCAGGTAATACTCCATCACATTAAAGCCAAATGCTTTTTATCCCGTGGAATAATAGCCCACACACACTTGTGAGAAATGCTTTCAGAAAGTGGCTACTTTGACACCTTTCAGTAATAAGTGCAGGCAACATCTACCGTTGTTAGGAAAGCATAGACTAACTGTGTGGTCCGCATTCTTCCCTAGATGGCACACCTCTTTTCATGAAACATGTCAGATAGGATGGTTGAACGACGGTCACCTAAAGACATCATAATCCAACCGATTCCCCGGGAGTTTACAAACCGTCTATTTGGCAGTGAGCTTTGTGAACGCCTTTTGTCAGTCACACTTATCGGACGTAAATAGTCACGCCAATTCACGTCCATTCTCTTGATCCAGATTTAATCGACCTTTTTTCTCTGGCTCTCTCTTCTTATCCAGGGTTGCAAGAGGGACTTCCGGATCAGACACATCGAATGCCCGGGGTGAATGTGACACTGTGTGGTTTCGATGAGCCCCCGTTCTGCTTCATGGCAAACGAGCAACGAAGGGTAAGTCAGATCAGCGAAACGGGACCACCAGTAACTAACTCAGTGTGTACCACACTGAAACAGAGATTAAATTCCACCTCGCTTTTTTTTTCTCGGATTGCTGAAATTTACACAATCTCCAATGCAACACAGAGTACCAGAATATCTGATATTTATATGGGTATGGTAATATTAAAGTGGAAAAGGAGGACGTTTGCCCCTAAGCATATATTTATCCCGGTACTGTGCACAGCAACGTTCGTCTTCCGTGGACCCCTCAAACATCGGCAGACCGAACGAAAGACAATAACCGAACGCGGTGAACGAAAGTCAATCGCTTTCTCCAATCCACAACCTGTGAACTTGTGGGGCCTT